TCACTTCCTGTTTGGAAGGACGGAAAAGTTGCTCAATGGCCCAGAAAAAAAAGTTCCCAACAAGTGGGTATCTTTGTACATAAACAACATAGTTAGTCATCTAATTATTTGAGGACTATTGTTTCGATCATCAAACTATATATTTTTTTTCAAAATCATACTTAATATTATGTTTTGATTTTATTTCTATCACGTGCGGTTAAAAAATTAACAGAACTGCTAACATGAAATTTTTCAATGATGATATGACACCATCTTATGGTGACCCATTTGTATTACTATTAATTCTTAACGATAAACGAACAAAATGAAACCAAAATGTGACTTTAGTTATGATTTAAAAAAATATTTGGGTGACCGAAATATAACCAAACAAAAAATTAGGCGATTAAATACGTATTTTATCCAAATTTATGTAACAAGAATGATAAATTATAATATTTAATGACAAATATTATTCATTGAAATTTCAATGGCAAAATCACCTCAATAATGTTTTGGAAAAATGTCTCATATAATGTGTTGAGAAAACCGTTTTACCATATAAGGCCATTGTCATAGTACTTTATTGAAGACGTTAGAATTATCTGACAATGTTTAGAAGACACATGGATCACCCGACGATTTTAAGAAGATATATGGATCACATGGTGACTTTCTCAATATACATGCATGCATAATATCTTAATTGGGAAAAAGATAAAGATTTAAAGATGGTATAAATTTAATTGTTAGATAATAAATATATATAGATATCCGTGTAACGTTAGGCAATTTACACTTTTAAGGGTAGGGTTTACCATTGCGAAAGGAAGTGAAAAAGAAAAAGGTTTTATAGACTGTCCAGCTCTCACCATCCAACCGCCGTCAGCCACCAACACCGCTCCTTCTACGTAGATAAACGGCGTATATTTATACGTACAAAATACACATATGCAAAACTTATGTATAAAACACCTACCTCTCTTTCTCTTTCCTTAGCCTTTTGTTTTTCTCTTCTTTACTCTTCATGCAGCCTACAAAATGGGAAACCTTTGCACCTGCTTTGCTCGTAAAACGGTAGCGAAACGGCCCGTCGCGAAACGGTTGCAGCACCAGCAAAACGGAGCCAATTCCAGCAACCGGTGGGCCAGGGTCCGATCGTCGAGGAAGGACAAGCTCGATGACGCTGTGGTTCAAGAGCAGGCTTTGGCAGCTGCGATCTTGTTCAGGCAGCAAAACGGCGGAGCTTCATTGCCGTTCGATAGGGCGGCTTCGTTAAGGTACCTGAATTCTGGTGCCGGGTCTAAGAAAGCGGGTCAGTTGCCTCGGAGCTCCAGTTCTAGAGCGAGGTCCCTTACTGACCCGCTTTTGCAACCTCATCAGCTTGTTTATCAGGTTAGTCATTAGTGTTAACTTTTTTCAATTCTGCAATTTATTGGGTCGAGTGCTTTTTTGGTTGGCGCAGGTCATTATTGTCGGGCGTTGGGTTTTAATCATCTAACTTTATTTTGTGGGTTACTATATTAATTTTTGATGATTGTATGACTTTAAATTATTGGAATCACGAGAGAAATGAAGATAATGAATCAAAAAATTTATTAGTTACTTGTGGTTTTTTATTCTTTGCAATCTGGGTGTTAATTTTGATGCTAAATGTTGGATATTGGAGTTCTGGGAAACAGGGTTTTAAATAGCCTGCCTTCCAATATACCGCCATATCCGCAATCACGGTAAACGAGACATGACCGAAAACGCTACCACAAATGCAACCGTGATTTGAATCCTTGCTGGGAAATGAATTTGCTATTTAAGAAGTTGATTTAATTATGGAATTTAGCTGAATAAGATAAAGATATGCTCATCAAATTTCTGGCCAAATTCTTTATGGCCTACTAGAAATTCTATCAATCTGTTAATGGTTTGTCTATAAGGCTGCATGTTTACAGGTCTTGTTTAATTTGCTGTTCTTTGTTACCATTTCATGTCAATTTGTAAATTCTATCATAAGTAACTTTGCTTGTCAGGTGTACTTTAATCCTTCCCAATGTCGATTATGATCTTTCTTTCTTTTCTTTTTGACAGGACAAGCTAGATAATTTGGAAACAAATCATTTTGTCCTTGTCCATGGGGGAGGCTTCGGTGCTTGGTGTTGGTATAAAACGATTGCACTCTTAGAGGAAGCTGGCTTCAAAGCTACTGCAGTTGATCTAACGGGTTCCGGCATTCATTCGTTCGACACTAATGGCATCACCAGTCTCTCACAATATGCGAAGCCACTAACTGATTTTCTTGAAAAACTTTGTGAAGGCGAGAAGGTTCTTCTCTTTTTATTTCTTTCCTTGTTTAGTTCCAGTACATATGCTCCCTTTTCAGCTTGCTTCTTCTTGGTTGGAAGAAACTTTTTCTAATGGAGATGGATGGACATTAGATTTCGATCTTGTTAATCAATTCAACGTATGTCCTGCTCGATACCCTGGAAGCATATAAAATAGTTAATATAACCCTTTATGGGGTATATTAAATTTTACTTTATAACGGCACTTGTATATCTCTGCTAATCAAGCTTTGCAAAACATTTTTTTACAATTTTTCATCCTCGCTGTTACTGGAAAGTTTGATATAGTTAAGAGAGTGGTAAAAAAGCCTCATTGTTGATAGCCTTGAAACTATGCAGGTGATCTTGGTCGGGCACGATTTTGGTGGTGCATGCTATCGCATGCAATGGAGCTGTTTCCTTTTAAAATTGCAAAGGCTGTTTTTGTGGCTGCTGCAATGCTGATAGATGGACAAAGTACTCTTGATATGTTTGCTTTACAGGTTTGCATTGGTTGAATCATTATTTTAGTTTCCGAAAATTGACGTGTGCTAATGATGTTGGACTTGAAATGTTCATTTCCATTGATCGTCTGTTTTAAGTTCTGTAGTTTCACTTTTGCCGGAAATTATTGATTTACCCGAATCTTTGGCATCAACATCTTGTTTCCCAATACGCGTCTGCCCTGAGTCTTTAAACTGTAATCTTGTGAAGGAAGTGAAGCTAACCTTACCTCTCAAACAAGTGTGAGAACGGCAGGAACATTGAATATATAAGACATCCATATTCCTATATAGTACTTGTTAACTATGTTGCTCTTAACTTTTCATTTTTCTTAAATACCCGTATCTGACATCCATGATGCATTTTTATACATAAGCATGGGGATATGGCCCTTAAAATATAGTTAAAAAAAATTAAAAAACTGAACGTACCTGGGTTGAACATATATCTGTATCCGACACCTACACCCGAGTTTGAGTAAGCATAGCTTGTTAGTACTTTCCATGAACAATTAATCTAACAATCACAACTTTATGACTTTATGTAACTAGTGCTTAAACTGTTGCAGGCAGGTTCCAATGATCTAATGCGACAGGCCCAGATATTTGTGTATGCTAATGGAAATGACCATCCTCCAACTGCTATAGATCTAGACAAGTCTTTATGGCGGGATTTGTTATTCAACCAAAGTCCTTCCAAGGTACAGTTGAACTCGGGATTAACGATTTCATATGTAAATTGCAATGCGCACGCATTATGCAATTAGTAACTTGACATCTCTTTCTAACTTGACTGTCAAAATCTTTTAATCGATTAATTTTGTCTTCTGACTCTTTATTGTTCAGATTAGACTTTCTCTTGTGTCTGTAATCGTGTGCCATCGCAATTGCTGATTTTATTCCACTTTTTTCTGGACCAGGATGTAGCATTAGCATCTGTGTCAATGAGGCCAATCCCTTTTGCACCAGTTTTGGAGAAGCTTTCACTTTCTGACATGAAATATGGATCCGTGAGGCGTTTTTACATAGAAACCACCGAAGATAATGCCATACCAACGGTGCTTCAAGAGAGCATGATTAACTCAAGCCCACCAGAAAAAGTATTCCGTCTAAAAGGGGCTGACCACTCTCCTTTTTTCTCAAAGCCTCAAGCCTTGCAGAAACTATTTGTAGAGATCTCAAAACTCCCTCCACCTTGAGAGAATCTAATTTTTGAATATTCATGGGAGTCCCCCCCACTTGGGGCTTCATTTGATGAGGTACAGGGAAACCATTCTCTGAAATTTTAGTGAACATGCCATGCCCATGCCCATGCCCATACCCATACCTTAAAAGACTGTCTTTAGTGCTCGAGCTCGAGCGCTAGATGGCCTAGAAATCTTGCATTAGAGCGCGAAATATGTTGATATCGTTTTCGCCAATCCTTTTTTGTTTCCGGTTTTAGTCTCATTAGATATTCATCTTTATGCTAGTGAAAGATAAACACTTCAGGATTGAACATTAGGCAGTATCAGCCTTTTTTTTATCACAAGGCTTGGTGCATACAAGGATGCTTGTTTTCTCCGTCTTAACGGATTTCTCATGTAAACATGATGCATCTAAGCTTAAGCCTTTGCTGAAATATAGTCACCGAAGGACGATAAATAATGTCTACAAAGTTCAGTAGAACATGCTCGTTCTATTTTGAACATACATAACAACTCCTCGAGTACCATGTCATTTGGTCAAGGATAAGCAAACAAGACATCATCTAATTATACACCATCTAAATTTCTGTTATGGTTTAAATACAATAACTTTTTGTTGACGGAAGTTGCATAAAATGTGAAAATATCATGATTGATTTAGTCGTTACGTTTTGGGTTGGGGACTTGTGTTACAATTAACTCATCATTAAAATGAACTCAACCTTGGTATTTACGTATTGGGTTTCTAAAATGAACTCATCAATATAACAGCTCTTGTATGATCTCCCAGAGAGGTTTTACAGAGACAATACGACTTGAGAAAATCTACACGTAGAATTATGTGAGTGACAAGTCACAATGCAAAACGTAAACTAATTGTGAATAATTATTTAAATACCAACTAAATCTAGAATTTTATAAAAAGTATTAGGTACTGCATCATAGAAAAACCCAAAGAATGGCCCGGATTTCATATCAGATCAATCATTTTACAGATTTAGTCAGATGGATCTTTTTTACATTGAAACCAGAAGCCATTACAGTTCCAAGCTTTTTACCTCCACTATTTGCACCATTTACACATAAACAAAGTGGAACAGGGGATGCACATGACAATAATTACACCTATAAAGGAAGGATTTCTTTGTCGAATATCACTTACCAGTGTCGGTTCCGGCATACACATTTCACTGCCTCTTTGCTAATGTCTTCCTCATTCCCTTGTATATCTTTCCGAACCACATTAGGTTCATAACTGATAGGACCACCGGCACAATGATGATTAATACTCGTCCGTAGGTGTTCATCTGCTTAACCTGATCGTAGTGCAAGTAGATGTGGTAAAATAGATGCACAAACAGGATTATTCTTGCAACCTGCCAAAAACATCAAAGTTCAACAGCCCTGTGAGGCATGGCATTAAAGCTTAGGTTCAAACCCTTGCAGCCAAACTCCGAAATGGTTTGGGTCAAAAAGCAGTAAACCAACTTCACTCACCAGCCAAGTTACAAAAATTACGACTCCATTAATCAAGTAAGCTTTGGATCTCTTCATTCCAGCTGTGTCGAGATACCTATACGAACCCAGGTGTCCTCAACATATGAAACTAAATTGCATTTTATGAATGACAGGAGGAATCAACTAATATACAGTTAAGTCTTTACCATCTCAAGTTGATCCCAGGGGTTGTAGTCTCGGAGATGAGTACCATGAACGTATAAAGCTGACCTTCCCCTGTCAACATAGAGTATGCTACAGCTGCTACCGACAGAAGATGGTGAAGGACCTGAAATAAAAGATTTTAGGTTGATTTACATCACGATAAGATAGATCAACACTCACCAACTAGGCCTCTATAGAAAGAAGAGACAGTAGGTAAAGATGATAATCAAACAATAAAAACGCTTACATACTCCACTCCACCCAGAAAAGGGTAAAACCAAATGATCATCCCAAGGTCAACCAGAAAGTAGCCAACAGATACCTGTCAGAAAAAGGAGAAGTTTCAGCAAGATGAACTTACTGCAATATCACTCCCTCTTGTAAGTATAATAGGCAACAATTAGGTTCCGGTGACGTCAAAAACTGACTTCGATTGACAGATTAAATAAATTTGTCTAACGTTGGTATGCAATTTCATGGCTTTTTGCATGTTTATGTGTTCATTCATTTGATATTTAATCACTCTGCAATAAAAAGAGGGTAAAATACTTGAAAATATATCAACTTCTTTCCAAGTTTCTTATATAAGTCCCTATCCTTGTTTATTTCCCGGCTAAGAGCTCAATTGGGTGGAATATCTATAAAGGGTTAATGAGAGATTTGAGACATATTTTAACATTTTATGCCTATTGAAATGAAGTAAAGAAAATGCTTACTTCAACCAAGTCCTAAAAGAGCTATCACCCAAGTTTTTATGGGATTAGGTTATCCTAGTTCTGACAGAAAGTACTGGCAAACGTGAGTAAGAGCTATCACCCAAGTTTTCATGGGATTTAGTTATCCTAATAATGACAATCAAGATACTAGGCCAAAAAACTTAATTTGGTAGATATGCTCCCCAGGTTTGATTGTTTCAACTAGAAATGCTCCAAGCATAATGACCTGGACTATTTACTCCTTAACACTGACTGCAAGGCAGTTTAAGACACATCATAGATAAACTACTGATCAGGCTTCTAGTGAGACAGTTCTTCATTGACCTAACCCTGCACCAGATATCAATTATCAGACAGATATAATGGATACAAGGCCACGAGCATTTAATGGTGATACTCATTCTGATGATAAATCTTCACACTGAAGGTAAATTATTGTGAAGGCATGTTACAAAAGGTGAGGCAGAACGACTTCTTAGTAATATCAAATACGCTAAACCAAGCATAAAAGAACATAGAAGATAAAAAATAATATCAATCCAAAAGTTTTCGTCCAAGCGTAAAAACCAAAGGGTATCCTCACCCCCCAATGTGAATGTAGACAGTGAAGAACTTTGGAAAGTAACCAGGTCAGCATATTGGTAGTCAGAATAGAGATCTGACCAAAACACAAAGTATAAGGACATACTTGCTCCGGGATTTCACGAAATCCGGTGATCGATGTCGATCAGCTCGAGATGGTTTGGTGCAGTCAGCAGATGAGTAATTTGACGAACAAGTGGACGACGAAAAGGAAGTTCGGGGTGATTTGAAGGACAACATTTGTTTCTCTTTCACAACTGTTTTGAGATTATTTCCATGCTTCCCATTTGAACCTAGACGAACAATGAATGTCAGCCATGGAAAAAATAAGTCTAATGATGAATTTCATCCCCTCACTTACCAAAACCGACGAGTTAGTCCTCTAATTTGACAGAATTTAACCCTCGTAATATAATAAAATTACGAAATTAAAACAAACTCATGAACTCAAACAATTAACTTTCACTAATCTGTTGCATATAAATGACTAAACTGCTAATGTTTACTAATTCTCTACATATTAATTGGACAAACTTTTCCACGTTTGGGATGAAATTTACAATTTTACGTAAAAAAGTATAGCAAATAGAAATAAACTATTGAAATCAGGGAGGATGTAAGATTTATGTTAAAGGACAAACTTAAAAAAAATTTAATAGGTGAATTTATAAAACTTCGGGATGGAAATAAATTATCAACAAAAAATATATATATATATATATATATATATTAAAAAAATTAAATTATACAAGAATTCAAACAATCAAAGATGGTTTAGTCTACATTCTACAATGTTATAAGCAAAGCCAAAACTTGTTTTCAGAACAAAATGGCAAGTAATTGCAGAGAGCTAAATTACCCGGTAGAAAGCCTTTGTGGTTCGAAGTGGCAACGTGGGCTGCAAAGAAAATGGTGAAACAGTCCATTAATGCACCCAAATTACTTCTGCAAATCTGGGTTTCCATCTGAATTCATCAACTTTGCAGACATCTTCACTTTCTGGCTTCAACTTGACCAAAGGTCGAACATGTTACGTGCATTGGCAGAAACCATTTGAACTTCCATTCAAGGGGCTTAATATATATATATATACACACGTATATATTATACATGTAAATTATATATCTTTGCAATAGGATAAAACGTTTTCTTCCTTGGGCTTCGCATAACAATGGCAGACAATATCTTCTGCCACAAAGCTGGGAAAGAACAGACAAAAATGATATATCCAGTCTAGTAAAATTAAAGGATAAATTATATGCTCAGCACTTACACTATTACTCTTAGTCTATTTAGTATCTAAACTTTTATTTTTAAAAAATCATACCTAACATTTAGTTTTTATTTCATTTTAGTATATGTTGTTAAAAATTTAACGCACAGTGGTGGACAGACGACCAATTCAAATGATGGACCATGAGAGGTCCATCGTACGATGGACTTGGTACGATGGACCTGGCTTTTTATAGGATGAAAAAATTGAGATTTCATCGTTGATTTAGGGAGATTGAGATGTTTTTTGGTGAAACGGAGGTCAAAATCACGTTAATGGAGTTGAAATGGTATGAGTTAAAAATTTTGGGCTTCATTGGTCGATGCATGTAACGACTGATGACTGTAGACACTGCAATCGACGAGTTCGTCTGTTAAGTTTTTAGCGGCAGGATACTAAAATGAAACATAAACTAAACATTAGATATTGTTTTGAAAAAACAAAAATTTAAGTACTTAAAATGATCAAAATTAATAGTTTATGTACTAAACATATAGTTTACCAAAAAATAAATATACAATATAAAGATTACGGTAGATGTTTACGTGTCTATAGTCTCTATAATTGTAATTCATCATTGAATTTATTAAGGGCCAATTTGGCATCACCTTTAAAAAGTAAATTTAAAAAAGTAGGATAGAAAAAAAACTTTTAAAAGTATTGTTTAAAAATATAATTTAAAATTTAAATGTTAGGGATTGTTGTTAAAAAGTAAGTTTAAAAAGATAAAATGTTCATTATAGACATTATATTATAAATTTAAAATATAGAATTTAAATTATATTTATACTTATTAATACTATGATATATAAAATATATCACTTAAACTATAATAAAAATAAAAGATATTTTAAAATAATTTATTAATAATATTTTTATAAATTAAAAATTTTATTAAAAAATATATATTATCAATACTTTTTAACACGTGGATATAAAATATTTTATTAATATTTCAATATATTAACCATTAATTTTATTTACTTTTAAATAATTAAAATAATTTATTAAGTAATAAATTATTTTTTAAGAATGTTGTTGAGTTAATCGATCGACGAAATAGCCAAGAGGGGGTGAATTGACAATTAAAAATTTGGTGGAAGCTTTTGCAGAAAATAGAAAATATTTGCACAACGATTTAGAATGGTTAAACTTTCTCAACCAAAGTCTACGTCCACTACCTTAGCTATCCACACTAAGGATTTTCCATAAATTCACTAATTTGACTTTCTTTTGAGGACAAAGAGTAACCTTACAACTCCATCGATAATTATTCCCCAGATTCTTGAGAATACTCTCTCCCAAATAGAACAATAAAAATTTCGTAAACTTACAGAAAAACCTCACAAGACAAGATGTTTGCACAATTATAGAACAAAGAAATAACACTCAATAATGAATACAATTGAGTACAAAATGTGTTATTAAAAGCAAAATGAATATTGAATGAAAAATAGGCTTAAAATGTTCAAACTTGATGTTTAATGCTTTCTCTTTGATTCTCTCTCAATTCTTGTTTTTGTAATTGATCAATGGCTCCTGAGCTTGTTTAAATACACCTTGTATCACTTTTGAACGTTGGGGATAATTGGTGAAGTCAATAGAGCCATTGTGGTGTTAATACTATTTAAAAAATTAGTTGGGAGCGTAGGTGTATCGATACACTATCAAAGTGTATCGATACACTCAATGTAAAATTGAAATATTTCGACCGTTGTTTGACCTGGTGTATCAATACACTCAAGAGTGTATCGGTACCCAAATTACATTCGATGTTTCTCGGAGCCAGAAGTGTATTGGTACATCAGTTGTGTATCAATACCCAAATTAAATTCGAAGTTGAGGGTGCATCGATACATCCAATAGTGTATCAGTATCTCCCTTTGTAAAAATCATTTTTGGCCCGATTATGGTTCGAAATACTTTGTAAAAATTGTTTCAAAAATATTTTAAGATTAAAACACAATTTTACACTTAAGGATTAAAATTGACATTTGAAAACTTTGAGTAATATTTTTGATATTCGAATAATTTAATCAAATATATAAATTTGAAATCGAATATAAAATCTTAAAATTCATTTAAACTTTATTTGTTATATCGAAACATCAAAATATTTTTAACATGTGTTAATATTAAATTATTAAAATAAAATGTAAATACATAATTGAGTGGAGTTCATGCATTAATAAGGGTAAAATTATAATTTTCTTCCAAACACAAAGTTGAAAATAAAAAAAAATACAAATTATAGCTTTTGCAGTTAGATTTAAACCACCGACCGTTTCTACCGTATTTTTTTTTCATTTTTATCCATTTAGTATTATTTTACAGTTAAAACGAATTTTTTAACTAAAAGTACATTTAAAAAGTCACGTTAAACGAGACCTCTCGTGATATGGTATAATTTTATTCAATTAAAATTAGTATTTATATAAATACATATAGTTAGATTTTTAGAATTTGATGTAAAATCTTTTTGTATTTTTTGTCAATGTAAAATTTTCCTTATTTATATGTAAATTTTCAAATATTTTTTATATAAATTTGTGTATTTTAGATTTTCTTCTTAATGTTCTATAATCGTTTAATCATTGTTATCAATAATATTAACCAATAATAATAAGACTGAGACTTTATGATAAAAAAAAGGTCAACATATAAGAGCTGTCAGGTGTCACAAATGATCATGACACCCGCATCAAGTGAAGTACAATAATTTGGACTACAAAATCGAACGGCTCAAATTGGTTAATGACAGCTGATCTTGTTACTTTGTGATCCCTTAATAACCTTTGGATCAAAATATTTTTTTTAAATTAATAATTGGTATCGATCTATTGACCGACTAATCCAGATCGGATACTGTAGAGACAAGAGCGACCCTCTCAGTCCAGTTTGCTCCATTCGCAAATGTCAATATTCGAACCCCTAACTTTACTTAAGGTACCTAATACCTCATTCCACTAAATAAAAAAAAAACTTTTTTATTTACGTTAAATCTAATACTAATTGCGTCACAAAATGAATTTGTTTAATATGTTTCCACATTCAAATCATTGACTCAATTTTAGATATAATTTTAAATAAAAAATTAAGGGGGATAAAGGGTTAAGCGAGCCAATTAGCAGGTGTTTAA